GACTTATTTTCACCCAAGCAATATCTGGTATCATTTATGCCCCTCCATTTAAATACACCCTGTATATATATATTTTTTTTTTCTTAAAAAAGTGATGCCCAAGATCACCGAGAGATAACATTAAAAAAATTGTATATAAGTTTTTAAAAAAATTATTAAGACATTTTGTAAATAGGCCATTCTCTTTCAGGATCATATTTTTACCAAAATCAAGGAAATATGAATATTTGTGAATTTGAATATGGAGAAACGTGTACAAATGTGGATTCTGGAAGTTGGAGACTTAAAAATTCAACAGATGGAGAAATTAACGACTTTATTACAGATCGCAGATGGGAAGGTATTATAAAATAACGCTTAATAAAACATAAAGAAGTAAAATAATTCTTCTTAAAAAATTCAATTAATTAAAATTTCACAGTAAAAACAAAAGACTGATCAGTTATTTAGTATTTAAACATTTGTTTTAATTGTGTTATACTCTATTCTTTTGAAATAATTTTTTTTTGCTCCATTAACGAAAAATTGTTCTAAACATTAGAAAAAAAATTTGATTTAAAACTTTTCCCATCTAAGCTTAGATACTGAGCACCTTTTTATAGTAAATTAAATTTCATAAATAATTGTATTTACGTTTTTGCAGTAAATCTAATCATCTATGAGAAAAATGCAAAAAATCTTTAAAAATTTATTTTAAGATTTTTTAGCATTGAAAGCGTTCAAGTTCAACTATTAGTACAGGCATTGCAGTAGGATCACCCGCAAAAACTGACGGTAAGAATATTCCATGATAAAAAGGTGTGGATCGTGTTGGTGAATCAGATTATGGTTCGTGCCGCAAAAAAAAGTCAGCGTTAATTTTTTATAAGCAAAAAACAGGTGAAAAAACAGGTTTTATTAATTTTTAATATAGAACTTCTGCATTTAAAACAATGTAATTTCTACAAGATATCGGCGCTAAAAAGCCCTTTAATTTGAATGGTCGCACGTCAAAATCGAATAAATAGTTATTGAGTTATTGCAAAAAAAACACTAAAATAAGCCATTTGTTAATTATTTAATAGCTTTAACAATTTGCAAAATATCAATTTCTACCATTGTGTAAACTAAGCGTTTCGAAGGGATAAAATTACGGTTCAAATTTGGAAGAAAAATATTGAAAACTTTTTATGTAATAGCAATTGTTATTAAAAATGGGACTTTTTTTAAAAATAATTTCTATCGATTGGGGGTGTCGCGCAGCATTCAGCAAGGGCTCGTTCTTTTCGTGAAGTGTTCTAGTTTCATGCAGACCCGTTTACCTGATCATTTTTTCAATTTAAATTGTTTAAATATCGCTCCAAACTAATTGCTATAAATGGCTTAATTAATAAATGGAATAGCTCCCGTTGTAAACGCGATCGTTATTGTTTGGCAATATTTTCTTAAAGCTTGAATTTTTTGACGAATTTACAAAAAAAAATGAACTTGCTAAGTGCCCTGGGAGCAGAGATAGGATTTAAAAAAAAAAAAAAAAAAAATTTACCCCCATTTAAGTACAACCATTATTTTTTTATCTATTAGCAGTAGTAAATAATTAATTTGGATCAAAATTAAATTATTGTAAAATAATAATCATGGCAAATATAAGTCGATTATGCAGTAATAGTGGCTACTTTTAAAAATTAAAGAGAACGTTTGAAAATGTTGCAAAATACCCACCGATAATGGAAAGCGTATAAATTGCAGTAGTAAATAATGGTCTTTGCTTTAAATCGTGAAGGTAAAAGTTAATAATTCGACGAGCTACCCCAAATTAAAAAAAAAATGATGAAATTCTAAGCAGTAGTTGCGGAGAAAATGGAAAAAATTTCACTTGGTTTGGATTTGAAGATCCCCCCACCACCGAGCCGCGAGCTCCGGTCCATAGCCGCAATTTCATCTCGCGTTTGGCGGTGGATTCAGGGATGTTGTTTTAATGCTAGTACCATCACGATTTTTTTTAAGAAACTTCAATTCTCCCTTTAAACATTGCTGAAAACGGCACCACAAAAAGTTAATAATTAAAGGCGTGAGATTTTAAAAAAAATCCTATCTCTGCTCCCAGGGCACTTAGCAAGTTCATTTTTTTTTGTAAATTCGTCAAAAAATTCAAGCTTTAAGAAAATATTGCCAAACAATAACGATCGCGTTTACAACGGGAGCTATTCCATTTATTAATTAAGCCATTTATAGCAATTAGTTTGGAGCGATATTTAAACAATTTAAATTGAAAAAATGATCAGGTAAACGGGTCTGCATGAAACTAGAACACTTCACGAAAAGAACGAGCCCTTGCTGAATGCTGCGCGACACCCCCAATCGATAGAAATTATTTTAAAAAAAAAGTCCCATTTTTAATAACAATTGCTATTACATAAAAAGTTTTCAATATTTTTCTTCCAAATTTGAACCGTAATTTTATCCCTTCGAAACGCTTAGTTTACACAATGGTAGAAATTGATATTTTGCAAATTGTTAAAGCTATTAAATAATTAACAAATGGCTTATTTTAGTGTTTTTTTTTCAATAACTCAATAACTATTTATTCGATTTTGACGTGCGACCATTCAAATTAAAGGGCTTTTTAGCGCCGATATCTTGTAGAAATTACATTGTTTTAAATGCAGAAGTTCTATATTAAAAATTAATAAAACCTGATTTTCACCTGTTTTTTGCTTATAAAAAATTAACGCTGACTTTTTTTTTGCGGCACGAACACACTTTTTATCACGGAATATTTTTACCGTCAGTTTATGTTCATTTTGGACCATTCTGTTGCCAGAATGCTTGTACTATATGGGCACTTTCAAAGGACAAATATTCCTTTATAATTATCGCCTATGAACACTAAAATAACGTGAAATGCAGCTGAGATATAAATAGATAATTTAAAATAATTTTTATTTTCCTTTTTTTTTTAGAACTCCCAGTTTATAAAAGCAAGGATTTGAACAGACATAAAACAACCTTAGCGTTTGAAGAAGTAACTGATACCGTCATCACAAAAACTAACTTTGTAATACCTTTTTCAGTACGTCTTAACAACGAAGGACATATTTTTCTGTGTGAAGATTACGTTACTAATTCGAATTGTTACTGGATAATGCTAGGAGCCTGGAAGGGCCGAAAATCTGTCATAAGAAGATGTGGGAAGGGAGAGATACCCTATAAAGACAAAATGTACCCTACAGAACCTTGCAGTATACCCAGAGCCATCTTTGTACGTAAAATATTACTTACTTGGTCCTAAAAATAAAATTCCTAGATATTTGGGTTCAAAAAACCATCGGGTTTTCTGTGATATACATATAAAATCGGCCAGTTTTTGGTTTCTAAAATACCATACTTCTATTTGGTCCCATATCCGTTTAGTCTTGATTCATTCACAAGGTACGTGGTGTTCTTCAGTTTAGAGCATTTTCTAATGTCCAATAATTTTTTTTTTATTTATTTCCGCTCCATAACACAGGCCAACAAGGGAAACACCCAGAAAGCAGACAATCCGTCCCCGAAGGTTTTTGATACGCTGAATCCGAACCTGACCTCAGAATTGACCCATCACCCTAGATTTCCGAGATATTCTAACCTAAATGTGTAAAAACACGGTTCGTTATATTCAAGGTTATATGACATCTCGAATATTTTTTTTCTAAAAATCAATTACACCACTGAAAAGTAGAATCCTTACCCTTCAAAACCCTTCTCTCGATTTGAAAAAATATTCATTTTTCGCCAATTCTGAGGCCAGATTCGGATTCAGCGCATCAAAAACCTTCGGGGACGTATTGTCTGCTTTCTGGGTTTTTCCTTTTTTGAGATTTTGTCGGCATGTATAAATCAAGTTTATATAATTATTATATCCTTAAACGGCCTCATGTGTTTTCAGTTTTTTGAATCTACAGTCTGTTTCGCTTCTCAACTTTACACCCATATAAAATTTTACTAGGTAACACGATTTTGATTTTTTTGTAATTAACTTAATAACCCCGCAGATCAACTTCTACAACATAGTATGACGGCTTGCTGCGATTTCCATAAATATTAACAATTCATTATTAAAAACATACATAAATCATGACAACTACATTCGGACAAATCCAAATGAATGTGTTTTTTTTGGTCTTGCTTTACAAAAATTGCCAATACTCTCCAGTCGACAGAGGCCGAAAATTACTGTTGGTGACATTTCCTTGATAACTCGGAAATAACTACACAGAAATACTTTAAATGAAGAGTACAATAACAGGCTAATTTGCTGACAAAGTATTTTATCAGGAAAAAAGTTATTAACAATTTAATAGTGAAAAAAATTTTTTTCTGACTGTACGAAAAAATGCTTAGGACATGATTTTGTTCGTGAAAATAAATAAATATAAAAATAACCACAAAATGGCGGTGGTTCGATTACGAAATTTGCAATAACAAAGCCGTGAGATTGAAAAAACGGTATAAAATGTAATTTTTTTAAAGTTGCTGTAAAAATGTCAATTATAAACAAAAAGTGATAAAACTTTCGAAAACTATAGTTCAATATATATGCAATAATGACGCTAAAGTCGAAAATCAGGAGAGCAAAACTTTTTGTTCTATAAGGTTTTATACATTCATCGGCATCTGAAACTCGAAACTTTGCCAAATTTGTTTGAAGTTTTGCTGACACTTGAAATTTGGTATAAGTACACATAGTGTAAATATGCAGAAACCAAAAGAAATATGCAAAATTCAATTATCTTCATTTTTGCAGCTTTGGTAAGGTTTTATACGTCACCCTAGTTTTATACGTCACAGTTTTTTTAATTTTTGGAAAAATATATATGTATATTTATAAAATATTCCATCACGGTAGATTAACCAGCACAATTAACACACTTAATTAAAAAAATATTAATGTTCATCGATTAGATCCTAAGCTACATAACATTTTGCGCCTGTCAGCCGTAGTCGTACATTATTTAACATATCAACATAAAACAAAATCGTACGTGTGGGGTAAACCATTAACTTTTCATTTTCGAGCGCGAGCTCCGCTCTTCGGCGCTTGTATTCTGTTAGAAATATGCAACAGTAAATTTAAACAATTGTTTACTTAAAATTAAAGGTTTAACCCACACGTACGTTTTTGTTTTATGTTGATATGTTGAAGAATGTACGAGTATGGCTAACAGGCACAAAATGTTAAGTAGTTTAGGATCTAAACGATGAAAAAATATATTTTTTTAAATTGTAGGCAATTGTGCTGGCTAATCTACCATAATGGAATATTTTATAAAAATACATAAATATACGCCCAAAAATTAAAAAAACGGTGACGTATAAAACTAAGGTGACGTATAAAACCTTACCAAAACTGCAAAAATGAAGATACTTGAATTTTGCAAATTGCTTTTGGTTTCTGCATATTTACACTATGTGTGTACCAAATTTCAAGTGTCAGCAAAGCTTCGAACAAATTTGGCAAAGTTTCGAGTTTCAGATGCCGATGAATGTATAACACCTTATAGAACAAAAAGTTTTGCTCTCCTGATTTTCGGCTTTAGCGTCATTATTGTATATATATTGAACTATAGTTTTCGAAAGTTTTATCACTTTTTGTTTATAATTGACATTTTTACAGCAACTTAAAAAAATTGGCGTTTTATACCGTTTTTTCAATCTCACGGCTTTGTTATTGCAAATTTCGTAATCGGACCACCGCCATTTTGTAGCTATTTTTATTACGAACAAAATCATGTCCTAAGCATTTTTTCGTACAAAGTCATCCCGCTGAGTTATTTAAAGAAAACTACTAAAAAAATTTTTTTTCACGATTAAATTGTTAATAACTTTTTTTCCTGATAAAATACTTTGTCAGCAAATTAGCCTGTTATTGTACTCATCATTTAAAGTAGGCCTGTGTAGTTATTTCCGGGTTATCAAGGTTTGACACAGGCCGAACCTCTACCAACTGGACTATTAATAATATCGGATGTCCCAGAAATATGTGCCAAAATTTACAAGTTGCAACAAAGTTATAAGTTTACAATTAGTTAGAACAAATGTTCCAAATATCCTCCGTTATTGTTAAGGTTAACTATAGCGTTGAAAATTTTCATTTACTCTTCCTGGATTTCTGGATTGCTGGCGGTATTTTTCAATTGTTGTTGTAGTTTGTCATCCGTATTAACAAGAGTGGAATACCTTATCAGTTTTAAACGACCCCAATAATAAAATTCGCACGGCATCAAATCTGGCAATCGGGCAGGGCATGCAACTGGAAAATTTCGATCACTCTCGAACAATTCAGGCAGTGTGGCAAGAAGCACCATCTTGAAGGTGTTACATATTTCGACGAATTTGCAGCGGAACATCATCCAGCAAATCGTGTCGCATGTTACTTAAAAAGCATAAGAAAGGATGTTTATTTCGAGTAATAGTGATTATTTGGCATTTGTCGATATTAATAAACAAATTATTGTGTTTACAAAAAATTATAAAAGCATCAAGATCGTTCTGAAGTTTTAGACAATCAGTAACATCAAGAATAAGTAAAAATAGCTTAAAATCATCAGCATATCCTCACAAACTACAATAATTAAGGCATTCTTTTGTTTTATTAATATAAATTATGAACATTAAAGCCCCCAAGTGCGATCCCTGATGTACTCCTGAGGTATCATAGTGAAATTTGAGGTGAATCTGTTAACTTCAACACACTGTGATCTGTCGGTCAAATAAGACTCCATCCAGTTCAGCAAGGTGCAGACCGCATCAACCTGAACTTGATTGTCCAAATGGATTAGTATAAATTCTGAAAATACCATGATTTTAGTTTTAACAGGTCTATTTTTAAAAAATCCATGTTGCTCAGTCATAATTTGAATTTTAACCAGTGAATAAACGTGATCATAGATAAAAGTTTCGAAAAGTTTCGCAAAAACATAAAATTTGCTTATAGGTCTATAATTATTTATAAAACTACGTTGTTCATGTTTAAAGATAGGTATGAGGGTTGCTTTCGCTGTAAAGCAAGAATAAAACGCTCTCTCAACGGTAATAATAAAGTATTTTATTGAAAACTAAGTTGTATAGAAAAAGACGTGTTGATGCGGTGAGTGTTTGTTGAAGAGTCCCTTGTGTGGAGTCGGTCGTAGGTATATGAGTAAGCATCTGGTCGTCGGCACCAGTCCGCCGTAGACCCTTCCTGGAACGCTGGTGCGTCCGGCGGCATCCTGCTGGCGCTCTTGACGTAATGCTTAAAAATGGGTCACTTGCGAACATGTGTACCCACAGGTATAATACAGGCCCCTTTCCATTTAGTAGGAAAACATCCTGTAGGAAGTGATAAAGGAATGTTAAAGGGGATGCCAAGGTCAACCAACAATTGCGAAAACCGGTGGTATATTGTCCCAACCCCCACTTTTATTAGGATTTAAATCCTTTAAACCATGTCTAACATCGTCTTCATATGATTTAATATTACAAAGAACAGAAGGGTAATTGGACTCAGTAGAGGACGTGTTAACTCTAGCCTTCTTTTGGATAAAAACACTGGAAAAATATTTAGAAATCGGCTCACATATCTGATGTATTTGTAATGGTCACGTTATTTAATGTCATTACATATGGAAAATTGTTGTTATTTTTAATATTAACAAACCGCCAAAATTTCTTTACATTAAGACTCAAATTATTTTCAACGTGAGAAATATAATTACGATAGTCAGTCTTTATTAAAGTGTTAGATCGTTTACCAAGCAAATTTTTGATAGTCGAACAGTCTACCATATGTTTTCCATGTTTTAAGACATTTATTTTCTTCTCTAATCACTCTTCTAGTGGCAGGGGAGGAATATATAGGAAAATTTCTCCTTAAATTTATAGAACAATATTGACTTTTATGGTAACTATAATAAATTAAAATTATATTAATGATACTGAGCATGCCTATTAAATATAATTTCATGTAATAAACAAACTGACACAGCAAAGCACCAAGAAAAACAATAAAAAATACTTGGTAAAACTAGAAAGTGCCAAGATTAAACAAAAGAAGAGAAAATACGCTAATGATGACAGCGATGATAAATGTATCAACAAGGTCTTATGCACCTGCGTATGAGGCTATTCTTCCCGAGCATGTGCATTAGGAATAATACGGTCAATGTTAAATTTTTACTTCAGAATATTCTTTTATATCGTTTTTTGTAAGTTTTAAGCTTAAGTTGTAAGTGTATCTATTTTATGAAACACGTATTGGATGTTCTTAAATCCTTCTAAATCCTTGTAAAAGGTAAAAGGTAAAAACCCTTAGTAAGTGGACTAATAATTTAGTTTTTGTATAAATATTGTGTGACATATAAATCGGATTAATGGCCTATCTGTTAAATAAAAACGGTGATAATTTCGTCCATTAAATTGTTCTCAAAAATCCAAACATCTATTTTTCTCTTTTTCATGAACCCTCATTTTCTCCCTATTTATGTATGTACAAGTAATTCTTATTAATATTGTTTTATAGAATCATGGACATGATATAATAAGCGATAAATTTTGGACACACTTCAAAATAATAATGAAAAATAATACAATTGCTGTAAGAAGAGGCAATGAGGATATGCAGTTACTAGAATTTAAAGATGATAAACCTTTTTCACCAAGACGAATATTTGTTCATAGCAAAAGTAATATTGGGCTCTGGAAATTTCACACGTGTAAGTATAATTTCTGTTCCTATAAATTCTAATGTCTGTTTTATTGTATTTCTGTTATCGTTTTATTTCGTATACACATCATACTTCTGCTACTTTCAAATTTTTGTAAAAGAGAAATCCAAAATTTACAATTTGTCAATTAGTTATACATATAAAATAATTTATGTGCATTGATATCATGAGTAACTTTATAGTTCACAGTACAGGCCCCCCCTGGAAAGTTGATTACCAGATACTTTATAACTCCTGAGGTGCATCCTTTTGACGAGTCTACCACATTTTTCCTCTACGACTTTTCTCGATTCCTCCGCGTTTCCACTCGGAAAAGTCCAAAAACATGGCAATTTCCCGGGGTCTTGAAAACTCAAGACCACATCTTTTATTTTTAGCTTAAGTAACTAGAAATTTTGTTGCAAATGCCGATTTAAATTTGTCCGACAGAAATTCCTCCGACATTGACGTGTCTACCGGTCGAAACATGCCAAAATAACAGGGTATTGAAAATCAATTACCACATAGGTAATTTTTAGTAAAATTAATTGTAAATAATTAATTCAGTCAAAAAGTATTGTTGTCCGACAAATTTCAAGCCGCGTTTTTTCAGTCCGACAGCTGGAAATCGGAATTTTCACGGGGTATGAAAAATCGATTACCACATGTCGGACAAAAATAACACACGATAGAAAAGTGTTTTTTATAAGCAAAAATTGTAATGTCCGACAAAAATATATCCGCAAATCGTCAGTCCGACAAAAAATGATGAAAAAAATTTCGTAAAAAATGTGCACATGTATTTATAATTTCTAATAAGGTATTTTCATGTATTAAGCAAAATTCCATATAAATATACAATACAGGGTGTTTCAGAAAGACCTCCCGTAAATACAGGGGGTGAGGACGACAAAAAATAAGAATTTTTTGTCATATGAACTATATGTCTATCTCCTCTTCTCAAAGCTCAAGCTTACTTTGAGAAAAGTCACTTATTTTATAGTGTAATATTGTAAGAGTTTAATTAAAAGCCTTTTTTCTCGAAAATCGTCCACATTAGGAAGTTCTAACAAGAGTACATTATTTTTAGAAAATAAAATTGTACAATAGAAATTAGAGCCCGACTGGTAAAAAACCTAACCTTAAAAAAAATATAACTTAAATTGTAATAAGAATGTAGCATAACTAGCGCTTTCTATGAAATATACAAAAAATAATTAGACTAGCGTATTTGGCACCCTTAAAAACCTCGGACTACCAAATTTCATAAAAATATTTGGCACTATTTGGAAATTTTCATTTTAATGTTATTTAAAAATTTTTATTTTGTCTCTGTATCTCGAAAACAAGAGGAGATAGACATAGAGTTCATAAGACAAAAAATTCTCTTTTTTGTCATACTATCACCCCATTTATTTACGGGAGGTCTTTCTGAAACAACCTGTATATATTTTTCGTAATTGTAAATCTCTATATGCTCAATTTAGCCAAATAAATATCGAGAAAAAAATTAAACGATTTCAAAAAAGTATGTATGGTGTAAAAAAATTATGCACAAAAGTTTTGAGATTTTCTTTTAGAAAAACAGGAAAATTTTTGTAAAGAAAAATAACAAACGCGAATGAAAACTTGAAAGAGAAAAAAGGATTTTTATATCAAGTATAATATTAATTTATTTAGAAATAATGCATTATGCACTAAGATCGTATTAATCGCCTCAAAAATAACTTCATTTGTTTATAACTTTTAAATTTTTAAGCATAAAATAAGCAATATTATAATTATTTATTTGAAACAAATAATAATTTACATAATAATAATTAATAACCATTTATAAATATGAAATTTTTGGAGTGAAAAAATTAAATTTCATCACGTTTATTGATTTATTGATTTTTTAATAATTTGCGGACATTAAATCGTCGGACACTTATATCACTATTTTGTACAGTAAATTTAAAAGTGGAAAAAATGAAAATTAGATATGTGGTAATCGATTTTTCATACCCCGTGAAAATTCCGATTTCCAGCTGTCGGACTGAAAAAACGCGGCTTGAAATTTGTCGGACAACAATACTTTTTGAGTGAATTAATTATTTACAATTAATTTTACTAAAAATTACCTATGTGGTAATTGATTTTTAATACCCTGTTATTTTTGCATATTTCGACCGGTAGACACGTCAATGTCGGAGGAATTTCTGTCGGACAAATTTAAATCGGCATTTGCAACAAAATTTCCAGTTACTTAAGCTAAAAATAGAAGATGTGGTCTTGAGTTCTCAAGACCCCGGGAAATTGGCATGTTTTTGGACTTTTCCGATTGGAAAAGCGGAGGAATCGAGAAAAGTCGCAGAGGAAAAATGTGGTAGACTCGTCAAAAGGATGCGCCTCAGGAGTTATAAAGTATGTGGTAATCAACTTTCCAGAGGGGGGCCTGTACTGTGGACTATTAGACGTCAAATTAATGAAACATCAAAATTTCTGTATACACCTTAACATATATTTACTGACTTTGGAACACGGTTTTGAAAAAAAAAAAACGTTGTTTGGTACTTAATAACGAAATGCTTTTGCATTCTAAACACCGAAGAAACACTTCGCTATTAGAAAAATACTAGGTATTAAGAAAAGAAATATACAGGGTGTCCCGGTACTTGATACAAAAAAGTCAAGTATCTACAAATAGATGACATCAAAATAATGTCAGTTCTTCATATATTTTTTTTTCATACGGGCCTTCGTTAACAAGTTACGGGCCATCAAAAGTGAAAATTAAAAAGTTATTTTTATTTACAGTATCTAAACTATTATCTTCAGCATGATGCAAATTTAGTGAGCGATAACACATGCGTACAGCTTGTTTTTGATGTTGTATCAATATATCAAAAATAAGTTCCCTGAAGAAAGAGCTAACGATAATACTCTCTTAGTTAACAGTTTAGCAAATAATAATATTTGTGATATTATGTCACAGGGCACATCGACCGCCATCTCCACCATTTTTTGTTTTTAATTTTTAATTGGACCTAACGTTGTTAGAACCAAACCGTACATATATTTAAAATAAGAGCCTAGAAAATCTTCCTGTTAATGGAGTCAAGATAGATTTTGACTTCGCGAAAATTACGGGAAGAGAACTTTTTATTTTTCGCTTTGTAAAGTTGTCAGAAACAACATATAAACAGTTACCAACTGTAGAGTGTACGCTAAATTATTTATTTAACAAATTAGTTGCAAAATTACAGTTTTTGCAAAATATATAAAAAAAATATAATTAAAAAAAAATTAACTGCGCCATTCGAAAGAACAGGAAAATTTACATAAAAAATGTTAATAAAGTTTTTCTTTAAACTGCGAATTGAGGGCTGTAGAATTTTTTTCTAACGTACGAAAAATGTGACGGGCGGACCCCAAGTATAGCTCTCGAAGTGCGCGTGGCCCCGAGCGCGCTACACTAAATTTGTTATAACTTTTGATCTAATTGATCAAATCGACCTCACAAAAATTTAAATGAAAGAAGAGTCATCCGGCTATCAAAATTTTATGTCTTTAAACTTGAGAAAAAAAATATATAGTACGTATACAAAGTTACGTCATTCTATAATTTTGTACAATAATAATAAAATAGCTGTCATTCTTTTAATTTTTAAAATAAATATCTGCAACTTTCACAGCGCTCTTCAAATGACGATTGAAACAGTGAGCGATATGGAAAAATCTTAAAAATTTAATTTGAAAAATATTGAGCTCAACATATTCAATAATTTTTAAAAATCACAAATTTGACTTTTTAGGCCATAATTTATAGATCAAAAACTATAGTTGTAAATGTGATATTGAAACTTTATGAGAGCACTTTTTAAAGCTTAAAATCTCTACTTTAAGATGGTGCATTTTATTTTTCTTAAAAAATTGAAATAATGGTTGAAAAAACAAAAAATTAAAATATTTCATGAAAAATCAGTGAAATTTATTGTTAAATAAAGTTTAATAATATACAACATTTTTTTTTGTTTAATAAACCATCAAATAATTAAGTTAAGACCTTAAAGAAAGTAAATCCAGCGAAAAATATTTTTTTTATTTATAGTAATAAGTGGAAAATTGTTATAACAGCAAAAAAATAACGTTTTTTGATAAATTGATTTAATATTCATTTTTAAAACATATATTCTGTATCTGAAATTGTGAATATAAGTTCTCTTATTGATATAGACATAGATATGAGTCTAATATATATTGTATAGGTATTTACACTTTATACATACACATAAGTAGCTGTATTAATAAATGTAAAATAAACTGTATATTATGAATTTATGTATTGTTGGTTGTCTATTTTTCTTTATTAATACAATTAAAGTTTTGTTTTATTTTAAGTTTTATAATAAGTAAATAAAAAATCTTAAATTTTCAACTTTGACTTTACTTACTTTAATTTCTCACTGGGGCCAAACTCCTCATCTCAGATAGCAAGTTCACACATACATATTGTAATTTTTTTTTTTTTATTTATATATGACAAATCAAACTTTTTTATTTTGATAGTTGATTAGGTATTTATTATTTAGAAACGTCACTATTTATTTATTCTGATTACTAATCTTTAAACTTGTTATAATTGTTACTAGTTTTATTTATTAATTCAAAACTTATCGTTTGTTCTACAAGAATGGAAAAATATTCGTACTAATGAAATTTTTAAACTATGCAAAACTTTTATTCAATGCAAATTTAATTTATGTTTGTTTGACAATTAAAATTTCTGACATATGGAAATATCTGACAGATTATATAATTTATTTCTAAAATGACAGTTAAACAAATTTATATTTTTACAACTTTTCTACTAACCTAATCTTATCTATATCTCCACTTTTTCGACTATCCAAATCTGCCTAATCCCAAATGATGCTCTGCTTCGTTATAAATTATATCATCCTGCCTATATATAGTACTCTTCCAATTTACTTTTCTCTTAACGGCATAATCTTAATTTTTCCTCT